CCACTCCAGACACACCCACATAAAGGGGACAAACACACATACAGATACAACAGACAAAGAGGGGACAAAACAAGGAGGAAGGGAAACAGAAAAGGGAGAGACAAGCTGCCCACATAACAATCTGCCCCTTTTATTCTCTGTACCCAACGCACTAGAAGACCAGTTCTTAAAGCCTTTAGCCGTATCCTTATTCTAGTCCTCCTCTGTTCCTCTGGTGATGTAGTGGTTAACCCAGGCCCTGTAGCCCCCAGTATCACTCCTACTCCCCAGGCGTTATCATTTGTTGACTTCTGTAACCGTAAAAAGCCTTGGTTTCTTGCAAGTTAACATCCGAAGCCTCCTCCCTAAGTTTGAGTTATTCACTGCGTTAGCACACTCCACCAACCCTGATGTTCTAGCAGTGTCTGAATCCTGGCTTAGGAAGGCCACCAAAAATTCAGAAATGTCTATCCCCAACTACAACATTTTCCGTCTCGATAGAACTGCCAAAGGGGGTGGGGTTGCAATCTACTGTAGAGATAGCCTGCAGAGCTCTATCATACTATCCAGGTCTGTGCCCAAACAGTTTAAGCTTCTACTTCTAAAAATCCACCTTTCCAGAAATAAGTCTCTCACTGTTGCCGCTTGCTACAGAACCCCCTCAGCCCTGAGCTGTGCCCTGGACACCATATGTGAATTGATTGCCCCCCATCTATCCTCAGAGTTCGTACTGCTTGGTGACCTAAACTGGGATATGCTTAACACCCCGGCCAACCTACAATCTAAACTAGATGCCCTCAATCTCACACAAATTATCAACGAACCTACCAGGTACAACCCAAAATCTGTAAACATGGGCACCCTCATAGATATCATCCTGACAAATTTACCCTCTAAATACACCTCCGCTGTCTTCAACCAGGATCTCAGCGATCACTGCCTTATTGCCTGTGTCCGCGGTCAAATGACCACCCCTCATCACTGTCAAACGCTCCCTAAAACACTTTAGCGAGCAGGCCTTTCTAATTGACCTGGCCCAGGTATCCTGGATGGATATTGACCTCATTCCGTCAGTAGAGGATGCCTGGTTGTTCTTTAAAAGTGCTTTCCTCTCAATCTTCAAAAATGCAGAACTAAGAACAGATATAGTTCTGTCGTAGCCGGCCGCGACCGGGAGACCCATGGGGCGGCGCTCAATTGGCCCAGCGTCGTCTAGGGTAGGGGAGGGAATGGCCGGCAGGGGATGTAGCTCAGTTTGTAGAGCATGGCGTTTGCAACGCCAGGGTTGTGGGTTCGTTTCCCACGGGGGGTATGAAAAAAATAAAAAAATAATGAAAAAAAGTGATGTATGCACTAACTGTAAGTCGCTCTGGATAAGAGCGTCTGCTAAAATGACTTAAATGTAAATGTAAATATAGCCCCTGGTTCTCCTCAGACTTGACTGCCCTTGACCAGCACAAAAACATCCTGTGGCATACTGCATTAGCATCGAACAGCCCCCGCGATATGCAACTTTTCAGGGAAGTCAGGAACCAATATACACAATCAGTTAGGAAAGCAAAGGCTAGCTTTTTCAAACAGAAATGTGCATCCTGTAGCACTAACTCCAAAAAGTTTTGGGACACTGTAAAGTCCATGGAGAATAAGAGCACCTCCTACCAAATGCCCACTGCACTGAGGCTAGGAAACACTGTCACCACCGATAGATCTACAATAATCGAGAATGTCAACAAGCATATTGCTACGGCTGGCCATGCTTTCCACCTGGCTACCACTACCCCGGCCACCAGCTCTGCACCCTCCGCTGCAACTTGCCCATGCCCCCCCCGCTTCTCCTTTACACAAATTCAGACAGCTGATGTTCTGAAAGAGCTGGAAAATCTGGACCCCTACAAATCAGCTGGGCTAGACAATCTGGACCCTTTCTTTCTAAAATTAGCCGCCGAAATTGTCGCAACCCCTATTACTAGCCTGTTCAACCTCTCTTTCGTAACGTCTGAGATCCCCAGAGATTGGAAAGCTGCCGCGGTCATCCCCCTCTTCAAAGGGGGTGACACTCTAGATCCAAACTGTTACAGACCTATATCCATCCTGCCCTGCCTTTCGAAAGTTTTTGAAAGCCAAGTTAACAAACAGATCACCGACCATTTCGAATCCCACCATACCTTCCCCACTATGCAATCCGGTTTCCGAGCTGGTCATGGGTGCACCTCAGCCACGCTCAAGGTCCTAAACTATATCATAACCGCGATCGATAAAAGACAGTACTGCGCAGCCGTCTTCATCGACCTGGCCAAGGCTTTCGACTCTGTCAACCACCGCATTCTTATTGGCAGACTAAATAGCCTTGGTTTCTCAAATGACTGCCTCGCCTGGTTCACCAACTACTTCTCAGATAGAGTTCAATGTGTCAAATCGGAGGGCCTGTTGTCTGGACCTCTGGCAGTCTCTATGGGGGTGCCACAGGGTTCAATTCTCGGGCCGACTCTATTCTCTGTGTATATCAATGATGTCGCTCTTGCTGCTGGTGACGCTCGGATCCACCTCTCTGCGGACGACACCATTTTGTATACATCTGGCCCTTCATTGGACACTGTGTTAACAAACCTCCAAACGAGCTTCAACGCCATACAACACTCCTTCCGTAGCCTCCAACTGCTCTTAAACACTAGTAAAACTAAATGCATGCTCTTCAACCGAACGCTGCTTGCACCCGCCCACCCGACTAGAATCACTACTCTCGGCGGGTCTGACCTAGAGTATGTGGACAACTACAAATACCTAGGTGTCTGGTTAGACTGTAAACTCTCCTTCCAGACTCACATTAAGCATCTCCAATCAAAAGTTAGATCTAGAATTGGCTTTTGCACATCTATCATTCTAGTGTTAATACAAAATTGTCACTATTTTGCACTATGGCCTATTTATTGCATTACCTCCATAGTTTACTACATTCGCACACACTGTATATATATTTTCTGTTGTATTTTTGACTTTATGTTTTGTTTTACCCCATATGTAACTCTGTGTTGTTGTTTTTATCGCACTGCTTTGCTTTATCTTGACCAAGTCGCAGTTGTAAATGAGAACTTGATCTCAACTGGCTTACCTGGTTAAATAAAGGTGAAATAATAAAATAAAAAACATATACCACAAACTCCCGAGGTGCCTTATTGCTATTATAAACTGGTTAACAATGTAATTTATTGAAATGACCATGGTACGGCTGTAAATATCGCAACTTTGAAGCAACACATTGAAATCGCATTGAACACGTGAAACATGAACACACCTGTAATAAAACATCATAGACGCACACCTGTAATAAAACATCATAGACACACACCTGTAATAAAACATCATAGACGCACACCTGTAATAAAACATCATAGACACACACCTGTAATAAAACATCATAGACGCACACCTGTAATAAAACATCATAGACACACACCTGTAATAAAACATCATAGACACACACCTGTAATAAAACATCATAGACACACACCTGTAATAAAACATCATAGCCCCACACCTGTAATAAAACATCATAGCCACACACCTGTAATAAAAAATCATAGCCACACACCTGTGTTGACTACAAACTTCTACACTATAGACCACCTCACTGTACTGAATTAGAGAGACCAAGTGAATACACAGACTGGTTGTCTGGTTGTTTGTGTAACTAAATGCCTGCTGCCTCTTGGCTAATGCCACAAACTTCCTGGTACAATACAGGACCAATCAGCAGGCAGAATTTGGCATGGGATGTGAAATTGACATCAAATTCTGGTTAAAATGTGTTTCTTTGGTTGAAGTCATCAGATACCCATGCATGGTTTAGTCCATTGTGTAGAATTTCATAGCATAATTTTTGTGGTCTCTAAAAATAATCTTCTTTCTGGAGAGTGGAGTGAAGAGTTGTTCCAAAGCACTAGATGACTTACAGTAGAGAGAAACCTAAGAGGTACAGGTCCTAGTACGTGTTCACACAAAGGTGGGGGGGTTGTTGTTGAGCGACTGTTGGTATGCTCAGGAGTTTTGTGTGCTCTGCCAGGTTAATGATCTTGTTAACTTCCACTGCAGTGGAGACTGCTGAGGGGAGAACGGCTCATAATAATGTCTGGAATGGAGTGAATGGAATGGTTTCAAACACATGGAAACATTTGTTTGATGTGCTCGATACCATTCCAACAATTCCTTTCCAGCCATTACTATGAGCCCGTCCTCCCCAATTAAGGTGCAACCAGCCACCTGTGTTTCACTGAAAGATAATGCTGGAATGTAAGAAGCGTGTGGAAGTAGAGTGGATCAATCTTACCCGACAGTGTTTAAACAGCTGAATGAAATGGAGTTGATGTAATGTCCATAGACTAATATAATCCCAGCCATTGAGCAGTGCTTGTGTGTGTGTTTGATATCCCTTCCTACAGTCTGTAATTTCTTGTGTGGATGATGATGGCATTTCCAGTTTTAGAGGTTGTCACGGACCGGTCACGTACAATAAGAGTAGAAAACACAGTTTTTCCAAATACATATTTTATTGTCTATTTCATAGTTCTTAGCTTACAGCAACCCAGTACACATCAGTAAAACTCACACACACATTTGGATACTTTGAAAATACAAAATCAAAAAGGTTTTCTCTGGAAACATCAACACAAAAATATTTTGTGGTACTCATGTTTCTCCATGTGTATCAGAAATACTACACTTGCTGTTTATAAAACAGACCAACAACATTGATAACTGATATTAAACTCAAACACCCTCAGAATCAATACAGATATGATGAACAATAATAACCACAGATATTAAATGATTTGTATGAATACGGAAATCCTGAAACAGTATCTTTATGATTATTGAGATATTTAGGCGTTTGTAAAGCATAAATAGGGTAAATAACATATATATATATATATATACTATAATTGTTCTATAATGAAAGGTAGAGCTGTACATCTGTCCAGAGCCCAATCCTCTCCATGTCATCTCCAGGTCACGATGTCATGAAATCAAATACTTTTCTTGAGTTTAGATTTCCTCTCCTGACGTTTGCTATGAACACACACACGCAGACACACAACGTTAGACAAAAATAAACACAACTTTTACAACACCTATACATGTGCACATGCAAAACAAACACATACACACACACACACACACACACACACACACACAGGTGTACTCACAGCAGACAGCGTTGTACCCTCTGGGTCCAGTCTTGAGAGGGATCGGCACACACAAACTTGTCCCTCCGAGTGTGGAAGCTGCAACAACACAGCACAATGTCAACACACATTACACACACACACACACACAAACACACACATCCACACACAAACATACACATACACACACACACACACACACACACATACACATTACACACACAGATAGTGAGTGAATCTCAATGGTCTTTCCTCTCTCCTCACCTCCTCAAAATGCATTGGAGAAGGAAAGACAAGAGGAATCAAGGAAATACAATTGACATTCAGGCAGTATTCTACACACAGTGTGTGCTGAGCTGTGATTGGAGGATAACTCACATGACAGCGTGGATGTCACAGGAGGAGGTAATGGTCTGGTAGATGTAGTCTTTCAGCATTCGGCATGGCACTGGACGCCGAGTGTACTTTAGACAGCAATCTGCTACGCACACGCGCGCACACATATATACATACATACATACATACATACATACATACATACATACATACATACATACATACATACATACATACATACATACATACATACATACATACATACATACATACATACATACATACATACATACATACATACACACACACACACACACACACACACACACACTAGACAGTAAGATAGGGAGAGCATATGTGTCTGAAAGAGAGACAATGTGTGCATGTTTGTGTTTGTTTATGGTGTGTATGCATGTATGGTGTGTTGGTGTTAGCACTCACCTGATTGTGTGGAGGGGATGAGGGTGAGGATGAGGAGAGATAACAGCACAGACAGGACACACACTCTACAGCGCAGCATCCTGATCTTCAGATGGGTTCCAGAGACAGAAAGAAGGAAGAGTGAGATAGAGTGTTTCAGTAGATGAGTTGTCTGTAGTGTGTGAGAGAGAGAGAGTGAGCGAGTGTGTGTTTCTGACTGGGAGTTCAAGTTCTTTAAGTAGGGCTCTGGCTGGATTTCCAGAGAGCAGTGCCATGGAATGTATTGGCAAGGGGTGTTGGGGGGGGGGGGGGGGGGGGGGGGGGGAGGGGTGCTCAGGTGTGATTGTTGGTATGCTCAGGTTTTTATTCTGATTAATGATGTTGTTTTCTTTCACTGAAAGGTAATGCTGGAATGTAAGCAGTGTGTAGGAGTAGAGTGGAGCAATCTTATCTGAGGGGTGTGTAAACAGCTGAATGAATGGGAGTTGATGTCATGACCATAGACTTAACAGGATATGACCCTCACAAACTGCTCAGTTTGACGTCACAGCTGTGATGAAGTAGCTATTTTGGATCTAAACTATCATCGACAGCAATAGATTACATAAGATTTGCTTCATTGTTCATTGTTAAGGAGACATGGAAATGTGTATTTTTCCTTTACACACACATACATAAACCCACAGAGAGGTTAGAGGACAGGGTTAGTCACAGTGCAGTGCCCCTAGAGTGCCTTGCTCAAGGACACAACGGTAAGAGATGGTATATAGGATTACTGATGCCAGCAACACTCCACCCGCTCCTCCACTCTCCACCAGATCTTTCCCAGTTGGTGCTGGGATTTGAACGGCCGTCCCTCCGGTTGCTGGACCGCTTCTCTGACCTCTAGGTTACCTGCCACCCCCTCTACCACTGCTAGTGGAGATTCAACGTCCATGATTTATCACATGGACCAACATGGTTAGAATACATAGGCCTACCCAGCATCATAATGACATCATCTTCTGGTGGTAAAGTGGTCTTCTGGTTGAGAAGACATCATATCACCTGATTACAACCAGGTTACTTTCTAGATGCATTGATGCATTTAATCGCCATTTTATTTCAGCGGGCTATCTCTTTGAAAGAACTTCTAAGCCTATTCACAGTGATGTTGGGCTGGATGCTGATAGGGGAAACTTGCTGAATTATCAGATAAATTATAGTCAAAGCTTCTCTTTTAGGCTATTTACAGAAAAATAAGTCCTGGATGCTTTGCTAGCAATAGACAACAAGAAATCCACAGGAGCTGACCAATTGGACCCTGGTCTGCTTAAGTGTGCAGCGCCCATCATTGTTGGCTCAATAACCCACATTTTTTATTTAACATCGTTGTCAGGTAATATTCCAAAAGTATGGAAATCAGCTTTTGTGCTGCCACTCCATAAGGGCAGGGATAGTAGTGATCTTAATAATTTTCTCCCCATTTCAAGCCTTCCTTGTCTAGCAAAAATTCTCAAATCCTTGGTAAATGTATAACTTTGCTCATTTTTATCTGAGAAATGTATTTTGAATGTAAACCAATCAGGGTTTAGGCCTGGGCATAGCACTATTACAGCATCCACTTTAGTTGTTAATGATCTTATCAATGCTTTGGACACTTAAATTAAATGTGCTGCTTTGTTTGTGAACCTGTCAAAAGCTTTTGATGCTGTTGATCATGCTATTTTATTGACTAAGTTGTCCTCGGTAGACCTGAGCTCTGACGCCTGTTCATGGTTTCATGATTATCTTAGTGACAGAACTCAGGCCATCGTGATTGATGGGGTTAAGTCTGAATATCTTGACGTGCATAAAGGTGTACCACCGAGGTCGACCTTGGGACCTGTTCTCTTAACTATTTATATAAACACCGTTGGTCAATCTGTTAAAAATGGTAAATGTAATATATATGAGAATGATACTATTATGCAATGGCCCCGACTGTTGATCTGGCTGTATCAAAACTACAGTCAGATTTTATAGCTATGCAGGAATCCCTTGCTGATTTAAAACTTGTGCTTAATTCAGGAAATGTTTTAATTAATGTTGTTTCAGATGAATTACATTAAATGGTTCTCCAATCGAACAAACGTGAATTCCCGCATATAATTACTTTGGCATTTGGATTGATATGGATTTGACGTTTAAAAAACAAATAGATGAGCTGGTTAAGAAGCTAAGATTTAAAGTTGGCTTTTTCTACAGGAACAGATCGTGCCTTTCTCTAAGATGTACGAAGGAGATTATTCAGTCAACCTTTTTATCTGTTCTAGATTATGGTGATATTATTTATCAAAGTGCAGCTGCTACTACTCTTAAACCTTTGGATGCCATCTACCATAGTGCCCTTCATTTTGTTACAGGTGACGGTTTTGATACTAACCACTGAATCCTGTATCAAAAGGTTGGCTGGACTTCACTAAAGACCTGTAGATCTCTACATTACTCCCTTTGTGTTTACAAGGCCCTACTTCAGAAACTTCTGTCTTATCTAACTTTGCTGTTGATGCATAGACACCTGAGTTGCCTAACCCGTTCACAGGATTGGTTAACTCTTGAGGTTCTATCATGGAAATTACCACTAAGGACCCCAAAGTCAAGCTTAAATTAATGTATGTTTTTTCACGCCAGCAGAGAGATTACAGACAAACAACACTTCATGTGGAGTTTAGTTAGAAGCTCTGATGAGGTATTTCCCCTCAGCATATTTATACTATCGCTACGGGTTACACAAAGATAGCCAAGTGCATCCTTTCTCAGCAAAGCGTTTGCTCACAGAAACCGACTGCAGAGGAGGAGAAAACCTGGCAACCACTGTCTGGGCGTTCAGCCAATATTTCCACTCCTGCTGAGCAAACCTTATGAGAGCAAACCTCAGACACCCTGTCTGTATACAACAGGCACATTTCTAAGTATGCCACAGGTCAAACATGTATGATAAGTGTGAGACACTGAAAAAGCAGAAAGAGACAGTAAAATTCCACTACACTTCCCTCCTTTTATCACTTATTCGTGATAATTAGCAATATTTTACACGTCTATCAAAAAGGAGGTATCTATACTAAAATCAGAAACTCAAATGAAAAAAACACCCAGGAAACCAGTGTGCCTTAACCCTTATTCCATTACCCTTACTGATAAGTTGGAAATGTACATACACCTTAGCCAAATACATTTAAACTCAGTTTTTCACAATTCCTGACATTAAATCCTAGTAAAAATAGCCTGTCTTAGGTCAGTTAGGATCACCACTTTATTTTAAGAATGTGAAATGTCAGAATAATAGGAGAGAGAATGATTTATTTCAGCTTTTATTTCTTTCGTCACATTCCCAGTGGGTCAGAAGTGTACATACACTCAATTATTATTTGGTAGCATTGCCTTTAAATTGTTTAACTTGAGTCAAACATTTCGGATAGCCTTCCACAAGCTTCCCACAATAAGTTGGGTGAATTTTGGCCCATTCCTCCTGACAGAGCAGGTGTAACTGAATCAGGTTTGTAGGCCTCCTTGCTCGCACACGCTTTTTCAGTTCTGCCCACACATTTTCTATAGGATTGAGGTCAGGGCTTTGTGATGGCCACTCCAATACCTTGACTTTGTTTTCCTTAAGCCATTTTGCCACAACTTTGGAAGTATGCTTGGAGTCATTGTCCATTTGGAAGACCCATTTGCGACCAAGCTTTACCTTCCTGACTGATGTCTTGAGATGTTGCTTCAATATATCCACATAATGTTCCTTCATCATGATGCCATCTATTTTGTGAAGTGCACCAGTCCCTCATGCAGCAAAGCATGATGCTGCCACCCCCGTGCTTCACGGTTGGGATGGTGTTCTTCGGCTTGCAAGTGACCCCCTTTTTCCTCCAAACATAACAATGGTCATTATGGCCAAACAGTTCTATTTTTGTTTCATCAGACCAGAGGACATTTCTCATAAAAGTACAATCTTTGTCCCCATGTGCAGTTGCAAACCGTAGTCTGGCTTTTTTATGGCGGTTTTGGAGCAATGGCTTCTTCCTTGCTGAGCGGCCTTTCAGGTTATGTCGATATAGGACTCGTTTTACTGTGGATATAGATACTTTTGTACCTGTTTCCTCCAGCATCTTCACAAGTTCATTTGCTGTTGTTCTGGGATTGATTTGCACTTTCCGCACCAAAGTACGTCCATCTCTAGGACACAGAACGCGTCTCCTTCCTGAGCGGTATGATGGCTGCGTGGTCCCATGGTGTTTATACTTGCGTACTATTGTTTGTACAGATGAACGTGGTACCTTCAGGCGTTTGGAAATTGCTCCCAAGGATGAACCAGACTTGTGGAGGTCTACAATTTTCTTTCTGAGGACTTGGCTGATTTCTTTTGATTTTCCCATGATGTCAAACAAAGAGGCACTGAGTTTGAAGGTAGGCCTTGAAATACATCCACAGGTACACCTCCAATTGACTCAAATTATGTCAATTAGCCTATCAGAAGCTTCTAAAGCCATGACATCATTTTCTGGAATTTTCCAAGCTGTTTAAAGGCACAGTCAACATAGTGTATGTCAACTTCTGACCCATTTGAATTGTGATACAGTGAATTATAAGTGAAATAATCTGTCTGTAAACAATTGTTGGAAAAATTACTTGTTTCATGCACAAAGTAGATGTCCTAACCGACTTGCCAAAACTATAGATTGTTAACAAGAAATGTGTGGAGTGGTTGAAAAACGAGTTTTAATGACTCCAACCTAAATGTATGTAAACTTCCGACTTCAACTGTAAATACTTTAACAAGGCACAGTACCACTCATTCCTGTTTGTTCTTCTCATCCTCAGGGTAGAATGGCATCTCATGAAAAAACAAGCTGATCATCACAGTCATTGCCTGGGGGGGCATTGAACAACAACTGCTGTCATACGAGAAGCTAAAGACGAACAGATCGCTTTACAACAGGCTAGCATCATAATAATACCAACCAAGAAATCTAAACCTATCTGTGGTCCCCAGGCCCCGAACAAACCCTTTGACCATGTGGTAAGCTGCCACCCCTCTGGTCCCTGATGACGTTTGTCTGCAATAAAATTGGCCAGATGAGTCACATTAAAGACTACATCTGGGACAGAAGTGCAACACTCATCTCCAATTATTGCACACGTGCCACCCTGGCCTGCCAAAAGGTAGTCAAGCACTTCCCTGTTTTGCAGGGCAAGTATTCTCAATTGCTTAACCTCCCCATTTAGAGCCACCAGAGCATTTATTTTTATTTATTTCACCTTTATTTAACCAGGTAAGCCAGTTGAGAACAAGTTCTCATTTACAACTGCGACCTGGCCAAGATAAAGCAAAGCAGTGCGATAAAAACAACAACAGAGTTACATATGGGGTAAAATAACATAAAGTCAAAAAATACAACAGAAAATATATATACAGTGTGTGCAAATGTAGCAAGTTATGGAGGTAAGGCAATAAATAGGCTATAGTGCAAAATATAATTACAATTAGTATTAACACTGGAATGCTAGATGTACAAGAGATGATCTCTTGTGGCATTTCCAATTTCAAAATGTTCATTGCCAAATCACTAATTTGATCAAGGGCACAAGTAACCCCATATTGAGGCACGAGCACACCTAGAAACCATTAGCCAGATGTCTAAACGTGAGTGATACCAGCAAGGGAGCGCTTTGTTCTCCTTTTACGAAGAGCAAACAGGCTTCTCTCATTCATTTGCATCCGTTTCCTCTAGCACCCTCATTGCTGGAACCACAAAACCGACCATACATGTACCACCCCAGTCAGGGGGCAGGTTATAATTGGCATTCTTACCACACAGCCAGTATGTTCCATTCGGCGCCCCTATTAAAATAAGGGGATTCCTTGACACAGCATTAACTTTCACAACAACAGACACATTAGAAGGGGCTCCGGTGGCCAGACTATGGACAGTCAGGCGGCAATTGTTGACTCCCTCTTGGTCCAGTGTTGCAGGTTGTCTCTCCCACATTATTACTACCTTTACCTTTAATACACCAGGGGGCCACCAGAGAACCCACAATAGGGATACTACTATTACCAGGACGTGCATAAGACTCACAGAGTTTGGGGGCTTCATACATCTGGTAAAAGGTAATGTCGTCTGGTCTCTTTGGGGGATAGGTGTTAAAGGGCAGGACTGACATCACACTTAGGGTGTAATTCACTCCCAGGGGGACCCCCATATATGGTAGTCCCTTGTTTCGCCCTTCAGGAGCAAGCCCACAGACCCAAGATGACCTCTCACCAACTGTTGCTTTAGCCACCAACTCAGCTCTACTCAGAAATAAATTGTGCTGTTCTTTCACAGGGGGGGGGGGGGGGGGGGGGGGGGGTTCCTTCAATGCCCTTTCCTGTCTGCTGCTTCTAACTTCTGGGCCTATACTCCGGGCCTGCATCGGTCCCTTTTCGCTCTGGACCTTCTTCCGTCACTAGGGTCCCGGGCCCAGGCAGAGTCTTTCTCAATTTATCAACATCAGTCTGTGGAGTGTGTCCTTCTGGCAGCTTACCAAAAGGGAAGCTGAGAGTCACTGCTGCAAAGACACACAGACACAGACAGAAAAGAAAATGGTGCTACGCAGTGGCAGGGCCATCTTCCTCTTCTGGGGATGGAACTCTCCTACAGTGGGACACGTGGATCCAGGTATCTCTTTCTGCTACTTTCACCGTAGTCGAAGTGGTCAGCAAAACCTGGTGTGGTCCTCTCCAACGAGGATCCTTCCAGCTCTTCCTTCTGTTTACCACCACAAAGTCTCCAGGGCACAGACAATGCTCAGATTCTCCTGCTAGGTTGGGCAGAGAAGCCTTCACCCGTGGGAAGAGAGTCTTAAGAACATTGTTAAGACACAGTATGCTACCATGTCTTCTTATCAGTCAGGAGAAGCCTTGAGATTAGGAAGTGCACATTCTTGCAGCCTGCAGTAGTCTACTAGTTTCAGAGACAGGCCCCCTTTGTACTTTGCTTCCGGCCACAAATACATTTACACATAAATCATTCCATCTAACCCATAACACATTAATTACTACTGCTAGGCCACTTGTATAGTTACAAACATACTAAAAGTGCTCAAGTCAATTAGTCCGTTTCCAACAGTCACTCATCTGGAACAATGATCACTCAAATGTTCCACAGGTGTCACACAAGCCTTCGCTTTGGCTCCCCCTCCTGTCCAGCTCAGGCGTTCGGCATCGCCGGCCTTCTGGCTGCTGCCGAATCTACTGCTGGCAAACGCACTTCACTCATCAACCCCAGACTTGTCTCGTCATTATTACACACACCTGGTTCCAATCCCCACTCTATCACTGTATATATACTCCCTCTGCCATTTGTCTTTGTCGGTCATTGTAAATGTTACTTGTTTTCCTGAGAGGAATCTCTCCTACTATTTCCTGAGTACTTTATATTTTGCACTTTGGGATCGCCCTTTGCCTTTTTGTTTATGAAGATATATTTAGAGCACACGGGTTTCGTCCCGCTTTGATCTACGGTGCTTAAATAAATTCAGTAGATCTAAACCTGCGACTACCTCCTGCCTACTCCTCTCTACACCTGTGACAGAAAGACCGACCCAACAAAACAGGAAGCAGCAGGACATCCCAACCTCTCCGCTGTAGGAGAGGAGCTCCGCCACCACGACTCGTGCCTGGAGTGCCTCGGGACGTGCCTTGCTTCTCTCTGTCCACCCAGCCCGTCCTCCTTCCTGTCACCTTCCCTGACTATCCTGGTCCCCTACTGAGTCCTGCCCTAGTGGACTCAGGTGCTGCAGGCAATTTCCTAGACCGGTCAGTGGCCTTATCATTACGCATTCCTCTAGTCCCTTTACAACCCCCTATCCCAGTCCATGCCCTAGACAATCGTCCCCTAGGAACAGGACTGGTGCACCAGACCACAATTCCCTTTTCCCTCACAGTTAATCACAACCACCATGAACGCATCACTTTCATAATCTTAGACTCTCCTGCACACCCCATCGTTTTAGGTTTCCCCTGGCTACAGTTGCATAACCCCAGTATATATCGTGGATAGAGATGAGGTTGTTGAGTTGGTCGCAGGAGTGTCAGGGGAGGTGTCTCTCTGTGTCAATCTGTGCCACCTCCGTGGAAAGTACGGACCAGGCCACCCACGTCCCTATGCCGGAGGAATACCGGGACCTACAGGTGGCCTTTTCGAAGACACGTGCCACGTGCCTGCCCCCTCATCACCCATGGAACTGCACTATCGACCTACTGCCTGGTTCTACCCTCTCCTACCGGCCAGGATCAAAGAATGTTAAGGCAGATGTGTTGTCCCGGGTACATGACACAGAGGATCGGAGTAAGAAAGTGACAACCATTATTCCCCTGTCCCGCATTGTGGCTCCTGTCGTGTGGAATGTGGATGCGGACATCCGTCAAGCCCTGCGACAGGAGCCCTCACCTGCCCACTGTACCGAGGGACGTATCTACATGCCCTCTGATGTGCGGGACCGTCTCCTCGCCTGGGCACACACAGCACCTGTGCTTCACGTTGAGTCTATCACTCGAATTTAAGACCCTCAACTTAGCACACACTGACACTGGCAGAATGTATATTTACATTGACATACAGTATATTCATCTTATATTTCTAGCATTAACTTTTCTCATCACGGCCCCCATTTGTGATAATGACAGATTGGTATCTCAATGCATTCTTAGTTTAAATTACTATACATTTCGCAGTGTGCAGACCTCCACGATCTACCTGATACCCAGAATAACCAGTTTGGATAAGCCTAAATCAATTATTGGGGCACGGTTGACCACCCCCCTCCTTCGCGGCACTCATTCTTCTGGCGTGTCTTCATTTTCTCCTTCAGATAGTTTGTCTTCCCAATGGCACACATGTTCAAAGTGGATGGCCCTTGATAATGTCCCAATTTCAATATCTGGGGAATAATCTGATTTTCCCAACAGACGAATCTCTCATCTGAGACATTCATCTGTTGTCCATTTTCCTACCAGTACACCAGCAGCATGAGAGAAGTTTGGACGGGATCTCTCTCCATGCTCACTCCACATGGACTCACGTTGCACTCCTAAGAGAAAAGGCATTGAGAGAAAAGGCAGTTGATAGCGTCGACTGGATGCTGTGTACAGGTTGCTGGCTCGGACTCAGGTCTCACAGTAGAAGTGGTGAAAGACAGGACCATAGTGAACACAATTTTTGTCATTTCGTCAGCCGGTTAGAGGGGGTGAGGTTCACACTGTTCTTGGTCAAATTATCCCTTCCATGCATCTAGATACCATCTGTGGTCACCTTCGCCATAACCTTGAGAGAGGACAGACCAGAACTACAGTTTAGTTTAGGGCATTTCTGATTCAAGAAATCCAGACAAATGATTTACTGTAGGACAAATGACAAATTATTGCTACTACCAATGTTCTTAATACAGATTTCTAAGACACATGTCAAAGAGTAAAATAGACTAGTCTGTCCTTCTCGTGGTCCGAATCACACATAGGACTATTGCTAAATTATAAACTCCTTCCTAATCATTAGTGTTTACATATTACATTTCAATCTCATCCAATGTCTCTAGGCTCTCTAGTGAGGGTGATCAGACCTCACCAGAAAGTCAGAACAGAGGTCAGAGGTCATTCAACCCCATTAAGTGAGTGTTTCTTTCCCTTCTCTTCCCCTGTACCTCAGACATTATTTAAATACATTTCAAACATTTCGTGTATCAGGTTTACATTGGGTTTTTCAGTACATTTCTTATCAGGAGAATGTACATGTGTTCAAACAAAACTCTGACAATAGAAACTGCCCTTTAAGGTGCATCATTTCTAACCCGTGAAAACCCCACTAAAACCAAAATAAAAGACCCCACACAATAAATAAAACACAGTATTAACACAACCAACAAATATTCATAACAGGTGGGCTGTGCGTGTGTGTGCTGGTGTGTGTGGTAAAACGTAGGACAAAAACAAACAAATGGCCAGGCCTTACTTAATTGGGAGCTCCCTCTACGGCCAGATCTGTGTACCTTTATACTTAATATAACTGCATAATTTTACTAACTGCTCTCCCAAGGCAACAGCCTCAGGAAACATTTCAAAGGGAGAGATAGGGACACCCCATCCTCTCCTAAAAGAGAAAATAAACATTTCATTAGTTTTCACTTTGCTAAATCTCAATCAGTCCAAACAATTCAAAATTTGAATTCTTACTTTCCATTTCACTTTCCATTTAACTTCCCATTTCATTTGTTACTTTCACTAGTCTACATATGTTTCCTTCAACTCAGAAAGCCCTCTCAATCACCATCACCCAGTCCATTTCTCTTCCACTCCAACACTTGTTTCCCTCTACAATTTCTACTATACTCTACCTAATAATAATAATAATAATAATATGCCATTTAGCAGATGCTTTTATCCAAAGCGACTTACAATCATGCGTGCATACATTTTTTTTTTTTTGTGTACGGGTGGTCCCGGGGATCGAACCCACTACCTTGGCGTTACAAGCGGCGTGCTCTACCAGCTGAGCTACAGAGGACCACAGGACCTCTGTCTTTCCGTCTAACGTTACTTTACCAGGTGAACCAAAAAGTTTTAAATTACAGACAAAACAAAACACGATACCTTCTGTTCACAGGGAGGCCACTGTCCTCCCTCCACTCTTTAATAATTTGTGTTTTAATCCACTCCAACATTTACTGTATATACTATAACCAATCTCTGTTGGATATTCACTATTTGCGTCACACTCATTCTATTGGTTATTAATCTTATCCTTTACAGTCTAAGAATTAACAATCCACACTCTCCTAATTCACACAGGAGGCTATTCCTCCTGTCAAAAAGGTTAGTCATTCACACTTATTCTCTCATACATGCATGTTCAACACCCCACTATACAGTATTCAACACTTCTCTATCTTCACTACTCGTAGCTCTCAGGCTACCTTTATCCTCTGCCTATCTTCTGGTCAGGGTGGGTCCTAGTCGTCTTTGGTCGGACAGGAATTTCCCTCACTGATGCCCTACCCAGACAGAATCACACATCCTTGGTCGTGACGCCAGATTGCTGTGGAAATTACCACTAAGGACCCCAAAGTCAAGCTTAAATGAATTTATGTTTATTCACTCCAGCGAAGAGATTACAGACAAACAGAGTTTAGTCAGAAACTCTGACAAGGTATTTACCCCTCAGCATATCTTTACTATCGCTACAGTTTACACAAAGATAGCCAAGTGCATCCTTTCTCAGCAAATCGTTTGCTCCCAGAAACTGGCTGCAGAGGAGG